TAGTTAAAAAGTAGATCCCAGCACAGTGAAAGTAGACATACATCTACGTGATTTACAAACAGTATGTTTTTTAATATTTTTTATCGCATTTCAGTGGCGGCTCGTGGCTGTGAGACTGGGTAGGCGACAAAATTTTAATTACATCTATTTGTTCTCTAAAATTTACATAATATTTTAACCCAGTTCGTAAAAACCAATATGTTAGCTTATGGGTTAAAACATAGCTTAAGAATATTTAGGATAAAACTAAACTAACAGCATTCAACATAATGAGATAATAATTAAATATAATGGATATGTGTGTTTTATTTATTTCCTCAGATAGCATGCTAAATGCTAATGCTTGATAAATAAGGTTGATAATAATACCATGCAGTTCATCATAGGATTTTATTTTATTTCTATTCATTTACGTAGCTTAACAATAACTAAATATATTTACAAAGACAAATTAGACAAATAAAGTTACAAAGAAAAACAGATTATCTTATTCATATACATATTTCGTGACCCATAAACAAATGAAAAGAATAATTACTTTTTATATGTATATTAAATTGATTCGCCGATCTCTTAATAATGAAAATGTATTTATTATTATATCAGTAATGTAATCAGATTGTTGAAGGGCTATGAAAATATCATTTTCGATTGAAATTAAGGCAAACGACGATAAACGTTTATTTTTCATTGAATTTCTAGTGTAATTTTTAATGCGTTTCAAACATGAAAAATGTCTCTCAACCGAAGTACTTGTAAATGGTATGAATGTATTGTATACGTCGCATAAATTGTACGAATTTGATTATGCATATTGAAAATCAACATTAATTACTCCAAATTTTAATCTAAATTAATACTTATTCGTATCTCCTCCTTGTTAACTTACAAATGCACTGTACACAATAATTCAAGTCAATAATAGGCAGTCGATAAACAGGTTTTAATTAAAATTTGAAATACTGATAACGTATGATGAATAATATATGATGGGAACTTGGGAACCACTGAATTTCTAAAACCTATCGAGCTCCACGCGCATGCCGAGGCGACCGAAGATATCGCCTAAACCCCGCCTTAATTCGACGTAGTCATCGATTTCCATCGCTACTGAGTGATGAGTTAGAGAGAGACAAAAGACAGACACATCGACGGCTGAGTGGGAGATCAAAATTTAATTTGAAAGGCGATGTTATAGATCGGCGAACAAAGATGAATGCATTATACACCAACGGTTAAAATTATTTTAATTTCTAATGCTGCCATACGCCAGCGGTAGCTAATATATTAATATAAAAGACTACAAATATTAAATTAATATTAATTGTTACAACTCATTTCGGTGTATTAATAGTATTTATATATGTATTGGCAACATTAATAAAGATAAATATTATAATGTAAAAAAAAATCTGACAAAATTGTAGGGTAGGCGCCGCCTACCTTTTTTTTTCATAACAAGGGGCCGTCCTCTGTCGGAAACACTGCGACCTGTGAGGCCTATTGTGTTTGTCCCCCTTCTATATCTGCACCCATTCTCCTATCCCTGTGCCCTGCACTAGCTTATGCAGGTCCTTGATAGGATGGGAGCATGCTTCCTCCGGTTCTAGCCTAGCTTTCCCAAATAAAGAGTGTCGCTTGCGATCCAGAGCCTCGCAATGACATATTATGTGCTCCGCTGTTTCAGGATCTTTATCGCAAAGTCTGCAACAAAGACTTCCTTGATACAGGTTGAGCTTGTTCAGATAACACTTGACAGCCATGTGTCCTGTCAAGAGGCCTGTTGTAATCCGCACTTTATTCCTGCTAAGCATTAGCAGTTCTTTTGCGGTTTTAGAGCTAGGGCCTTGGATAAAAGCCTTGCTGTGCCTGTGCCCCTGTCTGTTTCTCCAATGGACATTGTGCTTTTCCTTGATCCAGAGTTTTAGTGCACTACGGGCCATACATTTGGGTATTCCCAGTACTGGCTCTGGACCAAGATAGGATGCCGATGATCCCTTGCCTACCCTGCGCCGCCTACCTTCCCTACCCTGACGAGCCGCCACTGTCGCATATCCCCTACTGATTTTCAAAGACTTATTAACTCAGTTGGCCCCCGTATAGAAAGAAAAACTACAACTTTTAGGAAATGTATTCCGGTTAAAGAAAGAGCTAAATAAAGATTGGCCATAACATTAAGATTTCTTGCAACTAGAGACTCGCATACCAGTTTGGGTTATTTATTCAAAGTTTCCAAGCAAATCATTTCAAAAATAATACCAGGCATATGCCAAAATATAAATAAAGCTCTCAAAGACCAGATTAAGATAAGTACGCAATATAAATATAGAGTTATATTTTTATTAAAGGTATATTTAATATTATTAATCCAAGAACAACACACAAATATTTGTAATTCTGAACAAAATAAAATAAGAAAAATTATGGTAGTCTCATCATACAAAGTAAATACCGAACTTTATGAATGAAACCGAAGAACTGATGAAATTAAGAACTTAACAAATAACGCAAACAACTCGAGTGCTTAAACCTGCGCCGTAAAATATGCTCGCATCTCGCATGGCTCCGAACAATACCACCTAGATATTATTGGTATATGGTATTGCTCCGAAGCGTCCCTTTGATGTACCGCGACAGAGCCGAACAGTCGAAACAGGCAGGGCCGTATCTAGACCAAAATTTCGGGGGGGGTTTGGCCTGGACGGGGGGGGGGGGGTACAAAAGCGGCTAGGAAAAAAGCATAATAAAAAAATCGCTTTGGGCTACACTCAAATCTTAATTGGAAATAAAATTTTAAAAAAGTAACAGGTAAAAATTATTAATCTTAAAGGATAAACTGGTCTTTTCCCTGGAAAAACGATTGACTACCTCTTCGATATCGATATTTATTTCTCTATGTACGCATAATAGAGTTACGTAGGAAGTCCTTCAATCAAATACGTTTAAATTAAAATATACGACGGCCTCCCCATAAGAGCAATGAGAGGATTTACGTCCCAGTATTGAAGGACAGAAAATCGAGTCTGAATGGTTCAGGACATAAGTTCATCCTTGTTTAGTCAAACCTTCTACAACACATATAGGATAGACTTATGTAGGAAATGCATTGAAATTCTATAGCCATCCTTCAATATCGAGACAGGAATTTAAGCGGTACCCTCCGTATATTTTATTTAAACGTCTTTGCCTTCAATCGTCTTATACCGCAACCACACATGCGGCATTTAGCGAACTCCGAGCGCTCGTCAACTACCGAACGCTTGTGATCGGACTTCGCCTTTCCATCCATACATGCGGACTCTGATAGCAACAACATAGAGACGAGCGCTCGTTCTCGTCGCCGAACTCCGACTTCCTCATCCATTCACATAGGAAATCGGCGAAGCTCCGATCGGAGATCGCCGAATACCGCATGTGCGGTTGCGGCATTAGGGTTGAAAAAGACCTTTCTGGTGTAGCTGTTGACACTGGTAGAGTTGCGAAGATCATTAATAAAATGTATATATTTGGAAATATACACTGGTTACACTCCGATTATCGTTTCGATGGCGTTTTTAGGTCGGTCGACTGCAGGTAGCGGCTTCCATTTTTGCTGCCAAGTCTAGTTCTGCCGCTAAAGTGTCATAGTCCAAGAATTCTTTGTCTAATAGCAGATCAATAACAAACGTTAATCACGTTAATGACCAGCAAAACACACAACATTCAAAATCGTCCTTGTCAAACTTTTGCTGTTTTAAACACTTGAATGTTGAAAGTCGAAAATGACATTTGCTTTCAAAGTGAAAAAGTGAGGTTAGGGTGTATAATGTATATTCATCAATGACTAAAGAATACAAGGACAAATAGCACCCGAGACCAAACTGTGACCATTCTTCCAAACAGTGCCATATTCTTCCAACTTCCAACAAATATTTTACTTAACATTGCCGCTTGAAGGGATATTTATATTTTTGATATTATATGTTTTCACTACGCCTATGGTGTATCGGGTGGTATCATACTAATTAATTACGAAAAAAACGTATTAAAATGCTGACAAAAAGTACATAACTAGTATCGACGTATAGTACATATCAAGTACATATAATATCAGAAAAAGAATTATCGAATTCAATAAAAAAAACGCTAAAAAGGTGTAGGGGACTGTTTATTTCCCTATAAAACGTAACTCCTGGCTCTTTCTTATCATTGCGCCTTTTACACTTGAAAGCTGAACAAATTACCATTGTAATAAAGTTTATACAAAGTTCACTACACACAACCAACTATTAAAAATCGCTAAAATTGTCGCTGATGATGTCGTTATGTCTAAAAAGTTGGCGTATAAGGTCACAAATTCTGCTGCAGCCCGTATATGGGCGTTACATGTCCTTGTATTCTTTAGTCATTGATATTCATCCATCTTCTTCTTCTTCTTTTTTTTTCCCTTACTTACTTACTTGATGATCATTACTTTTTAAAAATTTTCGGCCATAATTTCGGGGGGGGTTTGAACCCCCAAAACACCACCCCAGATACGGCCCTGGAAACAGGCATTTTATGAGATCACAATCACGTGGAGCACCACGAACATCTCGCTCCGACTGTTTGCCATGTTTCTCGTGTTTCACGTGTTCGTTCGGCCTGCTCGCGAGCTATGTGGACGCAGCTTTAGGAATAAAAATGACACTTTTTGCGGAACAGCCTCGCTGTTCGTTTGACATACAGGCCAGCCATAAAAAGTCACTTTTACTCCGAATAGAACAAGCATATTGTTTTCAAATGCCACAAATAATTTTTTAAATCATTTCAAACGTTCCACATAATATGAAAGATTTAAAAGTAATACCTTGTATGTAATATGTAATTATATGTATATCGAGAAGCTATAGTTATGGCTCGTTGAAATTGACACTTCATGTCAGTTTAATAATATATTTTGGTCCTTTTGTGCTTAGGCGTAAAAGTGTTTTACTTTTATGCCTGATATTGTGTTATTATCAGGAATTTAAAGACAACAACATTTTCAAACTCTTTTATTAATTGCTTTTCTGTTTTTTCTTTGCTTTAAACCGTTTTGAAAAACTAGAAACAATCTTTTTACTTATATAAACGAATATGTAAAAGATGAAACCGACAAAAAGATAAACGTCTAACAAATAATACTGGTAGAAAGGTAACGTTAAAGTTGCCGGTTGCAAATGCGACGCCCCTTTGTGCCTGATGACGTATTCAATCCAAAATACTGCTGTGTCTAGTGCTGACAGGGGCTGGTCTCGCATTATTTCTGCTAGTTTTATTATGTTCGCCTTGTACCTACAAAACAGATATACTTATGACACAATTAATACTAATTGCATAATGATTGAGCTTTGATTGTGAATGGGTGAGGGTGGTTTTCTTCAAACAGAAGATCCTTATAATATTGTATTTATGTATTTAGTTTAGATCACCTAATACATAATCCCAGGTTATTATTATACGTAGAGCAAGATCCCATGGCCGCTTAACCCGGGATGGGATTATGCTATTAGCGCTGATTAAAGAAATAAGAAGATGCGCAACCTTATGGGCCTTATGACATTTCGTGGCACAAAAGTTGTCCGAGATGTAACTGGCGAACTCTCAGCGTGTCCGACTTAGACAAGGAAAGAGAGGGGACAGCTAACACGCATATTCTCCCATGATCGGTTAGTGAGGCCAAAATTCGATCGGCGGCCATACTTTGGTGACAAGATTTCGAAGTGACACCGAGAGAATTTTTATGTTTTTTGTGACAACTGTTTTGTTTTAAATTTATAAACTGTATTGTTTAGTATGTGGTGAGATGTTCAGCGTATGGCTGCAAAGGCCGAAGCGAGAAAAAAGTGGCTGGAATTAATTTCACAGGTAAAAATCTATACACAACTTTTGTTATGTGGTCATAAAATGTACATTTTTTCATTATAGCAGTAAAAATATGTAAAATGCTTTTAATATGTTTTGTACCACATCCAAACCAAACTATTTTTAATAATTCCAAGTAGTATTTTCAATATCCTTTATTATAATTAATGTTTGAAATTATAAATAATGCTACTCAGCATGGATTTCTCCAGTGGCGTAGGGAATTATAATAAGAGAAATACAATTTCTGCAATAAACATTTTTTTATATATTTTACATGTAAAAAAATGTATAAAGTATTGTTATCAAATATGTAAAATAATTTTATATATATATATATATATATATATAGTGATATATATATATATATATATAAATATATATATATATATATATATATATATATATATATATATATAAAAAAATTAATATATTATAGTGATAAAAAATCAATATTTCTATAAATATATATATATATATATATATATATATATATATATATATATATATATATATATATATATATATATATACAAGTTGTCCCAGAAATGAGTGCAGATATTTTAACTGGTAGTATAGTTCAACCCCAAGAAACACGCCTATGAGGGTTTTTTGCAAAAAAAAATGTTGAAAATTTTATATTTTTCTTGACATTTTCCGGAAAATGTTGAAAAACTTTTGAGTGCCACTGTTCACTCCCGGGAAATTCGTTTAGCGGGCATAGAGAGTGTCGGAGAGAATGCAACGTTGCCACCTCCTACCATACCCACATTCTGCATGTTTATCTATAAATTCAATTATTTTTAGTTGCTACAGAAAAAAATACGAAAATTAATTTTATTCATATTAGTGCAGATTGCTCTACTAATTCTAGAGAAACGCGCAATATTTTAAATACTTTTTACAGTGGAGTAAACTGAAAAAATAAATCTTAACAATTATAGCTTCTTTTTTGCCATATTAGGAAATATTTTCAATCGTTTCAATAAACAATTATAACCTTTAATGTTTAGTTAGAGCTTACCCTTTTAATGAAAGTGTTTTTTATCCAGCACACATATACGCAAACACATACACACCAAATATCTATTAAACTGAACATCACAAACCTATCACATGCCTATCACTTTTAAAATATTATTTAAAATTTTTCACATGATAATAATCAAACACTAAACTCATAAATACAATAAAAAATGTTAAAAAAAACTTGCTTTAATAACTACTTATATCCGGTGGCTGATGGTAGACAGCCCGGGGTTTTCTTTGACATTTCTTCAAAACCGACACAACCCCGACAACGATTTCGAAAACACTGAAGGAATTAGAAATTACAAATTTTTATTTAGGAATTTGTTGACTTAGCGTCCTCTAGATGATGTATTACTATTGGACTGATGTATTACTATTATGGGTCAACGTTTTGGTGGTTGTATAAAGATAGATAAATCAATTTTCTAAATGTTTATGTATGGGTAGGGATATCCCAAAAAATAAAATAAAAAGTACAAGAAAGAATTAAGGTAAAATCAAAGAATATTCTACGTTATCTAAAATATAAAAATATGGGAAGCCCCGACAAAAATCTGACACCTGATATCAAAGTGATAAACAAACATCGGCGCATGCGGCAGCGACCACTTACACTTAATTTTTCAGTTCATTGCTAGATGGCCTTTTACTAGGGATGCACTGCAAACAAATATTCCAGCAAAACTAAAGTGTTTTTTCTTATTCTAAATTCTAACAAATAAATAAACCTGTAAAACTGTATAAATAAAATCGGTCTTCGATTTAAAAAAAAAGATCGATTATACCAAAAAATCGTTTGATAAAAATCACGTCGATTTGATAATAATCGATTCGAATCGTACATCCCTAGTATGGTGTGTAGTTTAAGGTTATGTTTAAGGTTAATCGTGGGTTATTAAACTCGCACAAAAACAAAACAGAAAACAACAAAAAACAATGCAAACAATGCCAAATAAACCTGTAAAAAAGTACTTTTATTATTCAAAATGAAATATCATATAATTCAGTTGGTATACGAATATTTTTTGATTTATTTATAATGTTTGGTGTCAAAAATATGTGAGAAATGAGGTAAACAGTTTAAATGTCTTAATAAATTCGTTTTTAATTTATTAACCTTTCAGGTATCTACCTAATGGTAGGAAGAAATTAATTATGTAATGGTAGGAAAAATAATTTCACTTTAATTATGTATTAGAAAATCAGTAATCTTAAATTAGGATGCATCAATGGAGAAGAAGGCAATTGTAATCACAATACAATAATAGATCTACAAATACCAAGCAATACATTAAATCAAAAATCTCAGTAACACTGTTATTATGTACTCCCTGTGGTCTTATTAAGTTAAAGTTTTGTTTTACATGAAAATAATTATCCCATTTAATTATTCATTAAATTTTAGTGTCAGCTTATTGATAGCTCGATTACCAGTCAAATAGTTTCGATGTTTTCTATACTATGAAGAAAATTTGATCTGATTAGATTAATTCAGATGTAAATTTATGTTATACGGTAAGATATTTTTAAACAAACCAAGAAAGTTCTCTTCAGACAAGTTCTGGTCTGAAATTGCAAATATTAATGAAAAAGTTATACATGTAGTTTTCTATTCATAAATGATATTATTGATTTTATTCTAGGTGAATGTATCGAGTCATATTATATTCTGCAGAATATATTGAGAAAAATGGTAAACTAACTAAAAGTGCTAACAAAATTTCTTAGGAAGTTATCGATATACCTAATTATTAGAAGCTGTAACAAATGTTCAAAGAGTCAGAGTATACTTTATTAGAAGTGTGTTAGATAGAATTATACACTTTAAAGAAAATATCTTTTATTATTGCAGGTAATACTGAATGTAATGCATATAATATGTGAAATCTATTATTACATACAAAGATTGAAAATTATTTAAACAGCTACCTGTATGTTGTCTCACAATCTCATTTAGTGAATGGGTTATTAAAAATTGAACATATTTACACACAGAATATTGTGGATATGGATATCTGGAAAGCATGTTATAACCATTTTTATTTTTAGGATTTATGAAATGATTACATAAATATACTAACAACAAATTGCAATGCATCTGTATATTAGAGACAAAGATGAAAGAGAGTAACAAGAATATATGTATTCAAAAGAAAAATATCAAGACCATTTGTAGTAATTAAAATTAAAGAATAAAATACATAAAATGTACCATATGATCGAAAAAAAAACGGCGTCCAGTTGGCTGGGAAATGACGATCAATGACATTTCCTATATAAATTTACATATAAAATGACAGCGACCTTCATTTCATAGCCATCGTTGACGCCGTTTTTTCTCGATCATACGGTAGTTTATGTGTGAACAAATTCTCATTTCATATAAAAATTGGAGCTCTATCTAGAGTATATTTGAATATAAATGTTTTTATGTATTGGAAGGGGGACTGTAGTTTTCAAATATAATAAAGAAAATAGACTAAAAAAACATGTGTGTAAGTTCTTTTTTAAACTATTCTGTAGTTACGTAAATGTGTTTCAAATAGGTTGCTTTTCACAATAAAGTCAATACACAGTAATTATGCTTTACTTTTTCAAAACACACTCTTGTTTTTTATTATCAGAGAGTTATTAATATTAGAAAATTTAGTTACATGAATATAATAGGAGCAAATATTATGTTTCAAGTTTCAAGTAATTAGAATATGATATGAGTCATAATAGCTTAAATATGATTGCTCATAAAATACCTAGTATATACACATTTAGATATATCTCTTTAAATATAAATTAGTATTGCCACCATGCGATTAATGGGAAATACAATATGGTCGTGAAAAAAAAAACGGCGTCAGCGATGGCTATGAAATAAAGATCGCTGTCAATCTATGTGTAAAATTTTATGGAGAATTTCACCGACCGTTATTTTCAAGCCATTCTGGACGCCGTTTTTTCCGACCATACGGTATTTCTAGGTATGGAATTATGTCTCTAATATGTAGTTAGGTAATTTTTTCCATTTGCCTATTGTTAATTATAACGTCGTCAAACTATAAAATTTGCTATATTTTTTAGTTAATTTTTTTTAGTAATATCAAAACATGTTTTGAATAGTTTAATTAGTAATAAAGCTACTAACATGTTCAGTTATTTTTTTTTCTATAAAGCTTTTTTGATAAAAAAATAAGTATACCTGCTAAGACGTTAAATTGCCTGAGAAATTACGATCGATGCCATTTACCATCCACTTTTACACAATAAAATGCCATCGATCGTAATTTCAAAAGCAGAAAACTTGCCGCCGTTTTTTCCAATGAAATGGGCGGTGGGGAGAAAATTACAGATTCCTGTATTATATTAACGACTAACGACATTATTAATCGCATGTACACAAAGCA